CCAAGCAGGAGACCCTACACCCGTGATGGCGAACCTGTGGCACACGAGCTGTTGTCCCAGTTCAGCTCCTCTGCACATGCGTGCATGCCACCCACTGGCCAGCTGGTCTCTGCTGCGTATGCGTAGGGGGGGAGGACACGTCGGGGGTGCAGGGGCAAGGCACATGCACGGTGGCTGTGCATGCATGGGGGCGTGCATGCATGGGGGCACGTGCGCATTGCATTTTGGGGGTTTAATTTAATTTAATTTAATTTCCAATTTATATACCGCCCTTCACGTGTGCTTTGGGCACTCAGGTCCACAAAAGGTTAGCCATCACTGCTCTACACCATTTCTGACCGATGGCAGTCCGGTCTCTCCTTGAAAGCTTTCCACAACTCGCGATGAAGCTCCCACAACTTCTGAAGGGAACTTCCTTTGTTCCTTTGGTGTGATGTGACATCTATTTTTTCCCACAATCCAGTGAGGTAGGCTAGGATAGGCAATAATGAGGATGACCAGAATCAGGTCGTCTTCCTGTTAACTGAAAGGAGATCGGGATTTCCTTGGTTTTTTTTCCTCCATGTTTTAACCTCTACACTGATGTAGCTACTGTGTTATGTAAAATCAGATGAATTCAATAAGTCAATATAGAATAGCAGAGTTGGAAGGGACCTTGGAGGTCTTCTAGTCCAACCCCCTGCTTAGGAAGGAAACCATACACCACTTCAGACAAATGGTTATCCAACATCTTCTTAAAAGCTTCCAGTGTTGATGCATTCACAACTTCTGGAGGCAAGTTGTTCCACTGATTAATTGTTCTAACTTTCAGGAAATTTCTCCTTAGTTCTAAATTGCTTCTCTCCTTGAATAGTTTCCATCTGTTGTTTCTTGTCCTACCCTCAAGTGCTTTGGAGAATAGCTTGACTCCCTCTTCTTTGGGGCAGCCCCTCAGATATTGGAAGACTGCTATCATGTCTCCCCTAGTCCTTCTTTTCATTAAACTAGACATACCCAGTTCCTGCAACTGTTCTTCATATGTTTTATCCTCCAGTCCCTAATCCTCTTTGTTGCTCTTCTCTGCACTCTTTCTAGAAATCTCAACATTCGTTTTACATCATGGCCACCAAAACTGAATGCAGGATTCCAAGTGTGGCTTTACTAAGGCATTATAAAGTGGTATTAACACTTCACGTGATCTTGATTCTATCCCTCTGTTGATGCAGCCCAGAACTGTGTTGGCTTTTTTGACAGCTGCTGCACACGGCTGGGTCATATTTAAATGGTTGTCCACTAGGACTCCAAGATCCGTCTCACAACTATTGAGTGAGATACCACACATACTGTTTGTGATTGTATTTGAATGATGGAGATTTTATGTTTTGTTTTGTTTTTTCTGTTTTTTGATATAAATAATTTTTTTTTAAAAAAAAACACTTCACGTGATCTTGATTCCATCCCTCTCTTTATGCAGCCTAGAACTGTGTTGGCTTTTATATATATAAATTTAAATTCTGGGGTTTTATAATATATTAAAAACAAAAAACCTTGTAAGGCAAACACCAACCATCCTTCTGCCAAAGATGGCATGATGGGGTGCTACCACCAAGTAGATCCTGTTTTGACTCTAAGCATCAAAACCAGATTTCCTTTTGATCTTCACTTCGTCTCCTGGACGATGTGCCAAACTCTTCATCAATAGCCCTTGAACATCCTCTGTCCAGTCCCAAAAAAAAAACCCCTAAAACAACAGGGCTGGATGATGACAGCAGACAAAAAGAAGGATTTACAATATCATTCAACGGACACATCCAAATGGAATGTGACAGCTGGTTATTGTTTAAGACCTTATAACCTAATCCCCAAATTGCCTTCATAGCAGATTGGGTGGCCCAAGGTTTTGAAAAGAATTGTGTAATAGTTTTGGTGAGTTTCAAACACATTGTATTTCTTCTTCTTCTTCTTCTTCTTCTTCTTCTTCTTCTTCTTCTTCTTCTTCTTCTTCTTCTTCTTCTTCTTCTTCTTCTTCTTCTTCTTCTTCTTCTTCTTCTTCTTCTGCTTCTTCTGCTTCTTCTGCTTCTGCTTCTGCTTCTGCTTCTTCTGTTTCCTCACCACCTGGAAAGCTGGCTACTGGGGTAGGTGGGTGTGGAAAACGACTATTTAAAAAAGCAACACATTAAAAAAAGCAAGCCACGGAAGAATTGTTGGGATAAGATGTAAAGAGAATAACGTTTGATGAATTATGAGATCAAATAGAATAACAGTGTTGGAAGGGACCTTGGAGGTCTTCTAGTCCAACCCTCCACCGACTTCCTGATGGTCAGGGGGGCAAGATTAGGCAATTCCATAGCCAGCTGGAATTTGTTTTTGTCTATTTCAATTGTTTGGGCTCTTCTGTATATACAGTACAATAAATACCCCAGATATAAATGACAGGCAGTAAACAAATGAAAGGTGAATTCTTCCCCCTTTTCTTTTTGATCTTCTTCTTCTTCTTGGTCTCCTTCTCTCTTCTTCCTTCCTTCCTCTTCCTTCTTCATCACCATGCACTCCTATGAGTACTACCATTGTCCAAAACGTTGGTACCACCAGAAGCTAACTGAGAAGTCAGATTGACCAATAATTAATCCCTTTCCACTGGTCAATCATTTTTTCAATCCAGTCTGTACAGTGAACACATTTCAAATGGCATCTTCTTGGTGTAAGCTCTTCCTTTAGACCACTTATTATTATTATTATTATTATTATTATTATTATTATTATTATTATTTTAAATATTACCTATCCAGCTCTTCTTTTCATATGGCAATTCTTCCACCTCCCTCCCCCACCCCTTGGAATTTCCCAAAATGTGGATTCGATTATTCCCCCAAAATAAGTTATTTTCCCTTTTCCTTCTCCTTCCTGAAATCTTCTGGCCCCCTCGGGCATCCAACGTTCTCGCCATCTTGGTCTTCTCCAACCCACTCCCCCAAAAAATAAAATAAATCCACCTTCTTGTGTTCTTGCTGCAACCTTGGCCATCCTTTTATGGAGGCGTGAACCTGGTGGCATCCTTTACGGAAGACGAGTCCTCCGTAAGGCATTTGCAACCTTAACCTGGAGAAATGCATTTTCTAACCCCTTTGCTTGCACACCGAGAAGGAGCGGCCAACAGACAAGAGTAGAGAGGGGTGTTTGGGGTGGGGGGTGTGACCGGTTAAGATATACTGCAGATTTCCCTTTTTCCAGGCTGTAATTTTTTCACTCACTCTGCACATGGCTCCTTGGAAAAGACTGCAGGATAAGCCAGCTTTCCGCCCCCTAAATCTATTCTTCCAACAATGGCCAACCTCTCTGCCTTCATCTTTCTTGCAGCTATTCTATTCAAGGGAAATCTCCCTTTTCCAGAGCCAGAAAAACACATGGATTTCTCTCTCTCCACACACACACACACACACACACACACACACACACACACATAACCAGACATTAAAGCAAACACCCGAAAACACAGGTTCTATTTTCTCGGCCACAAGAGAAAGGATCCTTCCAAAATCAGTGCCTTCTCTCTGGAGGAACCTTTCTCCTCCCCACCACCACCACCACTTCCCCTCCCCAAGCTAGGGGGGATCCGCCCCCCCACCAAGCCCAGGAAGGGGGTCTTCTATTGTTCTCCTGGAAGGTTTCATAGGGAGGGGGAGAGGGAAAAGGGAGCACAGGGTCGCCTTTTCTTTTGCAAGGATGGGGAGCAGCAGAAAAAAGCTAAACCATATGTGCATATGTGTGCATGTGTGTGTGTGTGTGTACACACAAGGGGAGCCCCCAAAGAGAGGGGGAGGGCATCCCACCGAAGACTGCGCTACACCCAGAATCTAGGATACCCGAAGTCGTCTTGGCTACCGGGGCTCCTCCGGGATTGGAGAGAGGTGGCTGAGCAACCTGGTGGTGGAAGAAGAGGGAATATGGAGAGGGGGGGGCGTCACGCCCTTCCTCCCCTCTTCTCCCTCCCTCCCCCCCACCCACCCAGGTCTTAACAGGTCCTCTCTCTCTCCTTCCAGCCCCCATCCCCACCCCTCCTTTTTTCTTTTTCTTTTTCTTTTTTTCCAAGAGCCTCCGAGGAGGAGGAGGCGGCGGCGAATCTAATTTCCCCCCCCCCTTTGCAGAGAAGCTGCGGCAATGCGCCATGCCTCGCCGACCCCCCCCCCCCACAGTCCCCACTCCCCACTCCGCCCCCGAGCTCAGCCCCATCGGGGCACAATGGAGTTAAAAGGAGGGGGGGCACAGGGCCTGGGCCAGCGGGGGGAGGGGGGGAAAAACCGCCTCCCACCCATCTACCCACCCACCCACCCACTCACATCCCCAGGAATCCCTCGCAGGCCGCTGCAGCCTTCCCGAGAGCCCCCCACTCACCCCACTTGCTTTCTTTAAAGGGGGGGGGGAGAGAAGCTACTCTTACCGATCTCTCTATGTCCCCCCCACCCACCCACTCACATCCCCAGAAAATCCCTCGCAGGCCGCTGCAGCCTTCCCGAGAGCCCCCCACTCACCCCACTTGCTTTCTTTAAAGGTGGGGGGGGGGGAGAAGCTACTCTTACCGATCTCTCTATCTCCCCCCTCCCCACATCCTCAGGAATCCCTCGCAGGCCGCTGCACCCTTCCCGAGAGCCCCCCACCCACCCCCACCCCACTTGCTTTCTTTAAAGGCGGGGGGGGGGGAAAGGAAGATACTCTTACCGATCTCTCTATCTCCCCCCACCCACGCACCCCCACATCCCCTCCAGGCCCTAATGGCAGCTCCCCCCCACCCAATCTCCCTCTCTCTGTGTCTCTCTCTCCTGGGGGAGGGGGACATGGGGGATCATGCGCAATGTTGCCCCAGTCCACCCCAGTCGGGGATGCCCCCCCCCTCCCCAGTCCAGTAACCCACCCACCCACTCAGCCCCCCCCCCGGGGGGGGGAGAAAAGCCAAGTCCCCCGCGGGGGCGCAGGGCGACAAAGGGGAGCGGCGGGCGCCAGGTTGCAGAAGGGGCCCGGCTTACCTCGGCCGCTGAGGGCGACGGCGAGGAGGCAGAGGAGGCAGAGGAGGCGGGGGGGCGTCCCGGCCATCGCGGGCTGTCTTTTCCTTGCCCGGGTGGGTGTCGGGGCGAGCGGGGCGGCGGCGAGCCTCTTCCTCGGCTGGAGAGGGACGGAGGTGGAGGCGGCGGCGGAGGGAGGAGCGCGCCGGCCGGGCACGCGTGGAGGGGGCGGGACGCGGCGTGGGCACCGAACGGGCGGAGTGGGGTGGGGCGGGGGGCTCAGCTGCCGCTCGGGACCCTCCGTGGCTCCAGAGCTCCGGGCCGAGGGAGGGAGGGAGGGAGGGGAAAGGAAGGGAGGGGAGGGGGAGGGGGAGGAGAGGAGGGGGGGAGGCTCTTGCAAGGGCCCCGCCCCCTACCCACCCATCCACCCCCCACCCCCGTCTCGCCTTTCGGCCCCAGCTGCCGCTTCTGCAAGAGGCGCCCCCGGGAGGGGGTTTCACCGAATCACCGAGCTGGAAGGGACCTTAGAGGTCGTCTAGTCCAGCCCCCTTGCTCGAGCAAGAGATCCTATACTATTTCAGACAAGGGACTTATCAGTCACTTCTTCAAAACTTCCAGTGTTGGTGCATTCACAACTTCTGGAAGCCAGTTGTTCCACTGATGAATTGTTCTCACTGTCGGGAAATGATGATGATGATGATAATAATAATAATAATAATAATAATAATAATAATAATAATAATAATAATAATAATAATAATAATTTAATCTTTAGTGAGATTCACAGCCTTTGAGGCTGGTTAATAGCTCAGCAGCTCGAGTCCTAACCAAGGACCTAGGAACTGTTAAGGTATCGTCGGAGGATGTATTATTATTATTATTATTATTATTATTATTATTATTATTATTATTATTATTATTATTATTTATTGGTTAATCTTTAGTGAGATTCACAGCCTTTGAGGCTGGTTAATAGCTCAGCAGCTCAAGTCCTAACCAAGGACCTAGGAACTGTTAAGGTATCGTCGGAGGATGTAAGCTGTTTCTGAGTAAGGTGGTTTTTTGTAGAGTCAAAATGTTCAAGTCCGGCAATTGTAGAATTTCTAAATAGCGGGGTAGCCCTTTGGGTATTGCTCCAAGGGCTCCAATTACGATCGGGACAACACACGATAATGATGATGATGAAGATGATGAAGATGATGATGATGATTAGTTAATCTTTAGTGAGATTCACAGCCTTTGAGGCTGGTTAATAGCTCAGCAGCTCGAGTCCTAACCAAGGACCTAGGAACTGTTAAGGTATCCTCGGAGGATGTATTATTATTATTATTATTATTATTATTATTATTATTATTATTATTTATTGGTTAATCTTTAGTGAGATTCACAGCCTTTGAGGCTGGTTAATAGCTCAGCAGCTCAAGTCCTAACCAAGGACCTAGGAACTGTTAAGGTATCGTCGGAGGATGTAAGCTGTTCCGAGTAAAGTGGCTTTTTGGAGAGTCAAAATGTTCAAGTCCGGCAAATTTAGAATTTCTAAATAGCCGGGTAGCCCTTTGGGTATTGCTCCGAGGGCTCCAATTACGATCGGGACAACACAATTTCTTTTTCCACAGTCGCTCAACTTCAATTTGCAAGTCCCGGTGACTTATCAGTCACTTCTTCAAAACTTCCAGTGTTGGAGCATTCACAACTTCTGGAAACCAGTTGTTCCACTGATGAATTGTTCTTACTGTCGGGAAATTATCACTATTATTATTATTATTATTATTATTATTATTATTATTATTATTATTATTATTATTATTATTATTTCAATTTATATACCGCCCTTCTCCTATTGGACTCAGGGCGGGGCACAGCCAAGGATAAAACATTTAAAATTAAAAGAATTATACAGCTTTGGGCCACAATTTAAAACAATCCAATTAAAACCCAATTTACACTTTAAAAAGTGTAAACTACTCAACTCAAAATTTCCACTACCGGTTCTCCAGAACTGGTCAGAACCTGCCGAAACCCATCTCTGTAAAATTACAACTCTTAATGCCTTTTGGGCAATGCTGTTACAGTGAGCTCTAATATAATATGTTTATAATATGAATATCGAGTGGATCAGGCCGACCGAGTCTAGCAAAACCTTGGCATCTTCCGAGCCAACATTTTCCGTAGGTATTAGCAGTTGCCGTGAATTTATTACAATAATTTTTAAGCTGTTTTTTTGAAATGATGTTCTGTATCGCCACGTGGGGTCATATTTCAGCCCGCTTACGCTGCTTCCACATAACCTTTTGCCATAAACAAAATGTAGAAAGGAGCCATGTCAGACAAAGGTCATTTTTTAAAAAAAAAAAAAAAAGGAAAAGTTGATTTACAGTCTGGGGAAGCCAGCTAATTGTGGCGTTTGGCTATTAATTGTATGTAGATCAATAGTTAGCAAAACTCTATAAGGAGGGCCCATTTCATACTTTTAATGCTATCCAGAGATTTCCTCATGCTGCCCTGCTATCTCGCAATTAACATCCCTGCTCGCCAGAAGTGGAATCAATTAAAGCTAGCCAGCTGAAAATAAAAATAAATAAAATGAAAATGCTGGGCTAAGATGGATCGCCCTGTCGTGGCAAAAGAAAATTTGGATTTTTTAAAAACTGCGGAGTGGTGCTACATGTATACATTGGGGTGCCATGTATAATTCGGCTGGCCCTGAGCGGGAAGCAAGAGGCGCCGGGGTTTTCAAACGTGATCTCTTGAGAACCTGGTTAAATGAAAAGCACAAAAGAAAACGAAAATGGCCTCTTTGTGTTTCATTAGTTACTTTAAAAAAAAAAAAATAACGACAGCGAGGGCCAACTTTTTCTTCCAGGTGTACCTGTGCGTGCAGGTGATTAAAATAGGTCCAGTTTAACTCTTAAGAGGTGGATAGAACCAGGGTAAAATAATAAATTTGGTTTAATTTTGGCACAATGACAATCTCGGTTAATGTAATGGTTACTGCAGTTAAGCTCCGTGTGTTTAATCATTTGCCCTTTGGGCACAGAAAAGGGAGGGAGGGAGGATGGAAGGAAGGAAGGAAGGAAAAGGAGAGGAAGGAAGAAGGAAGGAAAGGGAGGATGGATGGATGGAATGAAGGAAGGAAGGAAGGAGGGAGAGAGAGGGATTGAGGAAGGAAGGAAGGAGAGGGAGGAAGGATGGATGGAAGGAGAGGGAGGAAGGAAAGGAAGGAGAAGGAGAAGGAGGAAGGAAGGAAAGAGGGAGGGAGGAGGGAGAGAAAGGGAGGAAGAAAAGGAAGGGAGGAGGGGGAGGGAGGGAGGAAGAATGGATGGATGGAAGGAAGGAGAAGGAGGAAGAAAGGAGGAGGGAGGAAGGAAGGAAAGAGGGAGGGATGGAGGAAGGAAGGGAGGAGAGAGAGGAAGGATGGAAGGATGGACGGAAGGAGAGAGGGAGGGAGGAAAGGAAGGAGAAGGAGGAAGGAAGGAAAGAGAGGGAAGGAGGAGGGAAAGGGAGGGAGGAAAGGGAAGGAGGGAGGAAGGAAGGAAGTTGTTTTCCAAAATTGCCTTGGTCTCTTGGATGCACATTTTAAAAAAAAAACAAGATTAATTTAAAAACCTCTGATGGAAAAGATTCAAAACACCTCTTTATTTATTACTACCTGCCTATCTCACTTTTTATTTTATGCAACTCCAGGTAACATCGTATATAAAATGTTCCTCTATCCTAGGAGTCTGCAACCTTAAACCCTCAAAGAGCCATTTGGACCCGTTTCCCACAGAAAAGAAAACACCGGGAGCCACAAAACCCTTCCTGTGCCTGACTATTTCTTGAACAGCCACAAAACAAGCATACTGTACGTCGTTGAATTAAATGTTCTGTTTTCTTCTGAAACTTTTCTTTTCTCGGATTTATCCATGGTTGGCCTACCGGGGGTTGAAAAGCTCAATAAATTGCGTGTCGGCGGGTGTCGCACATTGGCGGTTGTGATGCATATTTTGAGTGACAGGGAGCCGCAGCAGAGGGGTGAAAGAGCCACATGCGGCTCCAGAGCCGCAGGTTGCTGACCCCTGATCTATCCTATTTTCGGTGCAGGAGCCACCCGATGTGTTGAAATGGATTGAAAGAAGGGAGACTGGCCTGAAGTCACCCAGCTGGCTTTCATGGGGGGGGGGAGGGGGTGCTAGAATTCACCTTCTCCCAGTTTCTATTCCAGCACCTGAAGCCCTCCTTACCACCAAAATCAAACAAAAAGGCAATGCAATTCCAAAGCCATAAAATATGAATTTTGAATGCAATGCAGGCCATTCGAGGAATGAAATGTTTAGCAAGGCCGAGAGGATCCTAGGTGCAATTCTACATTTTCCGAAGGAGCACCCAGGTCCCGTCTGCCTCGCTAAACATTCCCTTGGCTCAGCTGGTCTGCATTGCATTCAGAGTTGGAAGCTGGGTCCCCAGGGGTCAGTTAGTCCAACCCTTCTCTCTCACTACAGGAAGTCCTCGACTTAGCAACAGTTCATTTAGTGACCACAGTTACAACTTTGGGAGAGAGAGAGGGAGAGAGAGGGGGGAGAGAGGGAGACAAGGAGAGGGAGGGAGTGACGGAGGGAGAGAAAAAGAGGAAGGGAGAAAGAGAGAGCGAGAGAGATGGAGAGAGAAAGGGAGGGAGAGAGAGAGAAGGTGGGAGAGAGATGGAGAGGAAGGGAAAGATAGAGAAAGAAGGAGGGAGAGAGACAGGGAAGGGGAGAGGGAGAGAGAGAGTGACGGAGAGATAGGGAGGGAGGGAAACTGGGAGGGAGAGGCATGGAGAGAAAGGGAGGGGGAGAGAGGCAAAGAGAAAGGGAGAGAGAAACAAAGAGACAGAGAGAGGTAAACGGAGAAAGAGAGATGGAGGGAGACAGAGGAAGAGGAAGAGAGAGAGAAAAATAAAGGGAGGGAGGGAGAGAGATAGAGGGGGAGGGAGACAGAGAAAGAAGGAGAGAGAGAGAGAGAAAGAAGGAGGGAGGAAGAGAGGGAAGGAAGGAAATTGAGAGGGAGGGGGACAGAAAGAGAGAGGAGAGAGAGGTAGAGAGAAAGAGGGAGGCGAGAGAGAGGGAGACAGAAAGGGGGAGAAAGAGAAAGGGAGGGAGACAGAGAGATGGAGAGGGGGAGGGAGACAGAAAGAGAAAGAGAGAGAGATAGAGAAAGAAGGAGGGAGGAAGAGAGGGAAGGAGGGAAATTGAGAGGGAGGGGGACAGAAAGAGAGGAGAGAGAGAGAGAAAGAGAGGGAGGCGAGAGAGGGAGACAGGGAAAGGGGGAGAAAGAGAAAGGGAGGGAGACAGGGAGAGGGGGGAGGGAGACAGAGAAAGAAGGAGAGAGAGAGAGAGAAAGAAGGAGGGAGGAAGAGAGAGGGAAGGAGGGAAATTGAGAGGGAGGGAGACAGAAAGAGAGGGGGGAGAGAGGTAGACAGAGAAAGAGAGGGAGGCGAGAGAGAGAGAGAGAGACAGAGAAAGGGGCAGAAAGAGAGAGAGAGAAAGAAAGCTTCAAAGAGGCTGTCAGCTCTGCAAAGCCTTGCATTCGTTTTGTGGCTGCTCAGCACTCGGCAGCTCCAGAGTTGCTGATGTGAGCAGCCAGTGAAGGTCTCGGAATACAGAGCAGCCCCTTCAAAGCAACGTCTGGGGCGCTGCAGCCTCCCTTGCCCTCCTTTTATCCCGTTTCCCTGGGCACGAAAGAGGAAGGGGAGGCGGGCAGGGAAACGCCAGGCGAGCAGCTCCTCCGCTTAGGGGCTCGGAGGTTCGCAGGGGGCTCGGAGGTTCCCCCTTCTCAAGATGTGACTTGCATGCCAAGGAGACCTTGGGAAATGCCAGCCCAACCTGTGGCGGTGCTGAAAGAGCCCGGTTGGCAAGCCTAGCCAAAGACGAGCCACCGTTGCAGACTGTTGTGGGTGCCCGGGCTCGGGCTGGCTGTGGCATTGCAGAATTTGCAAATATGGGAAGTGTTTCCCTAAGGAGGGTATCTCACCTGTGGCACATTTGAGGGTCGTAAGGCGAAGCATGCAGAAGGCCTACATATATATAATTATGGAGGGCCTTCTCTGTGGGGGCTCCAACCCTTTGGAACGAACTGCCCCCGGAGATACGGAATATCCCTGATCTCCGTGCTTTCCGCCGTGCCCTCAAGACCCTGATGTTCCAACAGGCGGGGCTAAACATACGAACATGTGAATGATTTATTAAATGTGATCTAATTCTGGGTTTTATTTAATTGACCAAACTAAGTAATAATTTTAATTAGCAATTTTATGATGTTTGTGTGTCTATATTTTTCTTGACTGTACACCGCCTTGAGTCCTACGGGAGAAAGGCGGTATAGAAATATAATAAATAAATAAAATATTTATTTATTTCTATTTATCGTATCACTATATTTATCTATAATATAGAATAATATAGAATAAATAGAATATATATTTCTATTTATCGTAGGTTGGGGCGCGGTGGCTCAGTGGCTAAGACGCTGAGCTTGTCGATCGAAAGGTCGGCAGTTCAGCGGTTCGAATCCCTGGTGCCGCGTAATGGGGTGAGCTCCTGTTCCTTGTCCCAGCTTCTGCCAACCTAGCAGTTCGAAAGCAGGTAAAAAAATGCAAGTAGAAAAAGAGGGACCACCTTTGGTGGGAAGGTAACAGCGTTCCTTATATTATATTTTTTCTGGCAAAATACCTAACAAAAATATTTCTGGCTTTTAAATCTACAAGTTGCTTTATTATTTTCTTTAGCCATGTATGTATTTTCATCCTTTTTTTTTTTTTGCCTTTAGGATTCTTATTAATCCCTCAAATTAATTTGTTTAATTTGTTTTAAATTATGGGGTATTTTAAATTTGTTCAGCCAAATTATTTAATTCGTTTGTATTCTATTTTAAATTTTTGTATTTATGTGTTTTATTCTGTGGCTGTTCACCGCCCTGAGTAGGGCGGTATAGAAATTTAATAAAATAAAATAAAATAAAATAAAATAAATAAATAAATAAATGATTTTTAAAACGAAACACAAAAGCCCTCGCTTTCCTTTGGCTGCGAAAAACACACATGACTTTCCATCCTGTGCTTTTTTTCTTAAAAACGTGTTTGTTCCCAGCAGAATTTTATTTTTATTTGATTTTTTTCATATATTTTTTTTAGGGAGGGAGAAAGAAAAAAAAAGACACTCGGCCACAAATTGTAGCGAAAACTAATCTGGAAAAAAAAGGCAAAAAGCAAAACTTAACAAAAACAGCTGGGAAGATAACACACGAAGTCACACAGCCGCTTTCTACAATCGGTCCGTTGTGTGCATCCAGAGTTTCAGCGAGAAGGAAGATTGCTGAGTTGGCGGAGGATTGCGGGTGTTGGTACAACAACAAGGGCAAGGATCCTGTGATTCATAAAAAAGGATGGCATGAAGCAGAAGCTTTAGGCCGGGAAAGAAAGAAAGAAAGAAAGAAACCACTGGGGCAGAATTTCGCGCTGTGAAATAAGTAAGGTGACCCCTGCTGGCCAAAAGGTGGAACTGAGAGGCGCCACAACCAAATTTAATTGTAATACAACTCCGTGGTTACACGGGGTTTACCTTAAAAACAGGCTGACTGAAGTTGAAGCCCACGTCGTGCAACTTTACTAGATGTTGGGACTTATTCCATCACAGGTAGTCCTCAACTTACGATGGTTCATTTAGTGACCGTTCGAAGTCGCAACGGCGCTGAGGAAAGTGACTGATGACTATTTTTCACAGTTACCACCTTTGAAGCATCCGCCCCCCTAATCATGTGATCCAAATTCAGACTCCTTGGCAACTGGTTCATACTTACGACGGTCGCTGTGCCCTGGGGTCATGCAATCCCCTTTTGTGACCTTCTGAACAAGCAAAGTCAAGTCAGATTCGCTTAACAACCGGGTTACTAATTTACAAACTATGGTGTTTTCACTTAACAACTGTGGCCAAGAAAAATAGGGGCAAAACTCACTTAGCAAATGTCTCACTTAGCAACGTGGATTTTTGGAATCAACTGTGGTCGTACCTTGAGGACTTGCTGTATTTATATCCCACCTTTATGATTTTCTCAAAAAAAATTTAAGGTGGCACTTCACAACCCAGGATTACTAACTCACTGGCTGCAGTGTTTCACTTAACAACTGTGGCCAAGAAAATGGGGCAAAAACTCACTTAACAAATATCTCACTTAACAACGGAAACGTTGGACTCAGTTGCGGTTGTAAGTTCAGGACTACCTGTACTGTCTCCAGACCTCATCGGAAGGCCAGCTTCCTTGCTCGGTGGCTTCCTGCGAGGCTCCCCTCTTGAAATGTATTTGAATGTTAGTAGCTGGGGTTGGCGATTTGGTTGCAAACGTCACCATTCGAGGAGACGTCGTCCGTGCGCTTTGAGTTGATTCAACAGACAGCGCACGGAGGGCGTCTCCTCAAATGGTGATGAAACGTTTGCATCTAAAAATTGCCGAGCTCGGGGCTCAGACCAACGGCCCCCAAACTCCACTCTTGGGGAGCTTCTTTACAGGGGGTCTCATCCCAATTTATTTATTTATTTTTTTATTTTATTTTAAATTTGTATACCGTCCTTCTCCCTGAGGACTCAGGGCAGTGAACAGCCAAGTAAAAACATCAAGTACAAATATTAAAATACAATTAAAGAAAATATATATATATATATATATATATATATATATATATATATATATATATATATATATATATATATATATATATATATATATATATATATATATATATAAATATAAATATAAATTTGGCCCCATTAATTAAAAACGATAAACAAAACAATTAAAAACACTTAAAAAATTTAGAATAATAGAATAGAATAACAGAGTTGGAAGGGACCTTAGAGGTCTTCTAGTCCAACCCCCTGCTTAAGCAGGAAAAGCTATACTATTTGTAAAGCAAATAGCAAATGGTTATCCGACATCTTAAAAACTTCCAATGTTGGAGCATTCACAACTTCTAGAGGCAAGTTGTTCCACTGGTTAATTGTTCTCACTGTCAGGAAATTTCTCCTTAGTTCTAAGTTGCTTCTCTCCTTCATTAGATTAGAATGGAAAGCTAAATTTCTTTTTTGACAGGAAAGGAAACGTGGTGTAGGGTTTCCTGCCTAAGCAGGGGGTTGGACTAGAAGACCTCCAAGGTCCCTTCTGTTATCCATATTGTCCTGAATCGAGACTGGGTTATTGTCTTTTCCCTCTTAAAAGTTGTTTCTGTGATCTCGGCGCTTTTGGTGTGCTCCGGTTTGACAAAACGGACCGTGGCGCAATTCACCTTTTCCATGGCCGTGGATTGTTGTATAAGGAGACCATTGAAGTGTGACCTTTTCTCCTCTCCCAAGCGTCCCGTGGAAAATATTTGTGGCCACCGGAGGAATGCTTTCGATCAACAAAGACAGGGCCGTGGCAGGGCGAAAAGCAAACAAACCCCAAATTAAAATCAGTTTTGAAACAATACACTTTATGGGAATTGGGCGGGAGGATTCCAAAAGGGAAAGCAGAAGAAAACGCAACTCTAGATTTTAGTCTTGTTGTGGGTCTGCGTTTCTCTTCCTTCGTGTTCTGAGTGCCAATGCACAACCAGAAAGAGCCGTAGAGAGCAGAAGCTCTTGCAGAAGGCCAGAAAGGTTGGAACTGAACTCACCTCAAGGGTTAAGATGTTCCCATAGGTAGGAGCCACAGCAGAGAAGGTCCTTCTGCTAGACTCTGCCAGGTGGAATTCCTTGACTGGTGGGGCCCACAGCATGCTTCCTCCCAATCCATCCAATCCAATCCCATCCCATCACAACACAACCTATGCCAACACAACACAACACAACCCATCCCATCCCATCCCAACACAACACAACCTATGCCAACACAACCCATCCCATCCCAACCCATCCTATCCCAACACAACCTATGCCAACACAACCCATCCCATCCCATCCCAACACAACCTATGCCAACACAATCCATTCCACCCCATCCCATCCCAACACAACCTATGCCAACACAACCCATCCCATCCCATCCCAACACAACCTATGCCAACACAACCCATCCCATCCCAACACAACCTATGCCAACACAACCCATCCCATCCCATCCCAACACAACCTATGCCAACACAATCCATTCCACCCCATCCCATCCCAACACAACCTATGCCAACACAACCCATCCCATCCCATCCCAACACAACCTATGCCAACACAATCCATTCCACCCCATCCCATCCCAACACAACCTATGCCAACACAACCCATCCCATCCCATCCCAACACAACCTATGCCAACACAACCCATCCCATCCCAACACAACCTATGCCAACACAACCCATCCCATCCCATCCCAACACAACCTATGCCAACACAATCCATTCCACCCCATCCCATCCCAACACAACCTATGCCAACACAACCCATCCCATCCCATCCCAACACAACCTATGCCAACACAACCCATTCCATCCCATCCCAACACAACCTATGCCAACACAACCCATCCCATCCCATCCCAACACAACCTATGCCAACACAACCCATCCCATCCCATCCCAACACAACCTATGCCAACACAACCCATCCCATCCCAACACAACCTATGCCAACACAACCCATCCCATCCCATCCCAACACAACCTATGCCAACACAATCCATTCCACCCCATCCCATCCCAACACAACCTATGCCAACACAACCCATCCCATCCCATCCCAACACAACCTATGCCAACACAACCCATTCCATCCCATCCCAACACAACCTATGCCAACACAACCCATCCCATCCCAACACAACCTATGCCAACACAACCCATTCCACCCCATCCCATCCCAACACAACCTATGCCAACACAACCCATCCCATCCCATCCCAACACAACCTATGCCAACACAATCCATTCCACCCCATCCCATCCCAACACAACCTATGCCAACACAACCCATCCCATCCCATCCCAACACAACCTATGCCAACACAATCCATTCCACCCATCCCATCCCAACACAACCTATGCCAACACAATCCATTCCACCCCATCCCATCCCAACACAACCTATGCCAACACAACCCATCCCATCCCATCCCAACACAACCTATGCCAACACAACCCATCCCATCCCAACACAACCTATGCCAACACAACCCATCCCATCCCATCCCAACACAACCTATGCCAACACAATCCATTCCACCCCATCCCATCCCAACACAACCTATGCCAACACAATCCATTCCACCCCATCCCATCCCAACACAACCTATGCCAACACAACACAACACAACCCATCCCATCCCAACACAACCTATGCCAACACAACCCATCCCAACACAACACAACCTATGTCAACACAACCCATCTCATCCCAACACCACACAACAATGATGGTTCTGGCAGTGCAAAAGCCAAGATTTGAAAGATCACAGCTCCCACCCCAGCGTTTTCCTGAATGCAAGGGGATGGATTAGGAAATTTGTGGGTTTTTTTCAGCAGCTTAATTAGCAGGAGAAGGGTCGGGTCACGGCGGCCATTCATTTCCACCTCTGGCTGCCATCCAAAAAAGCCACTTTGGCACACGATGTAAAATGTTTTCCAGGATCCTGGGGAGACTGGTGATTTATTTTGACTTGCAACAGCTGGACTCCCCCGTGCCCTAATCAGAAAGGGCTTTTGAGACTTTTCTCCTCCTCCCCCCAGCTGCTGCCAGTTTCCCCATTTTGAGTTTGCTGTGCAAAGGAAGAGACATCATTGGTTGGGTAAAAAAACCAGATTCACTTGGGTAACTTTTTCCTTCCTTCCTTCCTTCCTTCCTTCCTTCCTTCCTTCCTTCCTTCCTTCCTTCCTTCCTTCCTTCCTTCCTTTCCTCCCTCTCCCTCTCCCTTTCCCTCCTCTATTCCTTCTTTCCTCCCCTTTTCCTTCCTTACTCCTCTCCATTCTCTATTCCTTCCTTCTTTCCCTCCTTTATTCCTTCTTTTCTCTCTCCCTCCCTTCTCTATTCCATCCTTCCTTCTTTTCTCCCTCCCTCTCCCTCCTCTACTCATTTCCTCCCCTCCCTCCCTCCTCTATTCCTTCCTTCTTTCCTCCCTCCCCTATTCCTCCCTCCCTTTCCCTCCTCTATTCCTTCTTTCCTCCTCTCCTCTATTCCTTCCTTCCTTTTTCTCCTTCCCTCCTCTATTCCTTCCTTCCTTTCCTCCCTCTCCCCCTTTCCCTCCTCTATTCCTTCTTTCCTCCCCTTTTCCTTCCTTACTCCTCTCCATTCTCTATTCCTTCCTTCTTTCCCTCCTTTATTCCTTCTTTCCTCTCCCTCCCTTCTCTATTCCATCCTTCCTTTTCTCCCTCCCTCTCCCTCCTCTACTCATTTCCTCCCCTCCCTCCCTCCTCTATTCCTTCCTTCTTTCCTCCCTCCCCTATTCCTCCCTCCCCTCTTTCCTCCCTCCCTTTCCCTCCTCTATTCCTTCTTTCCTCCCCTCCTCTATTCCTTCCTTCCTTTTTCTCCCTCCCTCCTCTATTCCTTCCTTCTTTCCTCCCTCCCTCTTTTCCTCTATTCCTTCTTTCCTCCTTCCTTCCCTCTATTCCTTCCTTCCTTCTTCTCCCTCCTCTATTCCTTCTTTCTTTCCTCCCTCCCTCTCTTTCCCTCCTCTATTCCTTCTTTCCTCCTTTGTTTCCTCCCTCCCTCCCTCCCTAAGCCTGCACAGCTTTTGGAAGCCTATAGGAAGTCCTCAATTTACAACCAATTGTTTAGGCACCATTCAGAATTACAACAACACAGTGAAAAAAGCAACTTACATCCGGCGCTTGCCCACGGTCGCATAATCAAAATTCAGGAGCTTGGCACCTGGCATGTACTTGCTCTGTTCCGGTGGTCCTGTGATTGGCATTTGGGACTTTCCCAGCCAGCAAAGACAATTGGGGGGGAGCCACATTTGCTTAACGACCATGTGTTTAACTTAATGACTGTTGTGATCCCCTTTAAAAAAATGGTTGTATTTTTCTAGAATTCTTGTATTATAAAAATCTCTTATCATCTTTCATTTCCATATTTTTTTATCTAACCATTGATAAAATAAGTCCCCTATCTTATAATTTAAGATTCGTTTAAATTTCGTTCTCCGGGCCAATTATTTAATTGTATTTTAATGGTTTTTTAACATTTGTATTATATGTATTTTATTTGGCTGTTCACCGCCCTGAGTCCTTCGGGAGTAGGGTGATATACAAATTTAATAAATAAATAAATAAATAAATAATCTTGTTTATCTTCTTGTTCTCTTAATTTCAAATGTCAATTTACTCATATAACATAAAAAAGTATTACTATTAGACCGATTTAGTGATGAAATGAATGTTATAATATAAATCAATTCAAATCTTAGAATATTTTGTACAAAATGAGGGAAGAATGGCTATAGTTAAATAAATGATTAATGCGGACAATAATACATAGATATATATATTAGATCGATAATATAAGAATTTAGGTAAAGTGTAAGCTGTGAATATGATGAAGACACACAGAAGACTTGTAACCAACCAACACACTATGTGTAATTGAAGATGGTTTTGTTTTTATATATGTTTGTTTAAAAATAAAAAAGAGTCTCTTGCCTGCAAAAAAAAAAATGGTTGCAAAATGAGGCATGACTTACTTAACAGCTGCCTTGTTTAGTAGCAGTCCCCAATTACAGCTGTAAGTCAAGGTCTACCCGTTGAATACAACAGAATGAAAGGTTTTATTCAGTGGTGGAATTCATTTTTTATACTACTGGTTCTGTGGGCGTGGCTTGGTGGGCGTGGCATGGCATGGCGGGCGTGGCTTGGTAGGCATGGCAGAAGGATACTGCAAAATCCCCATTCCGTCCCCACTCCTGGGGGAAGGATATTGCAAAATCCCTATTCCCTCCCAACTCCTGGGAGAAGGGTACTGCAAAATCTCCACTCCCTCCCCACTCCTGGGGGAAGGATGTTGCAAATCCCCATTCCCACCCCACTCCTGGAGCCAGCCAGAGGTGGTATTTGCCGGTTCTCCGAACTACTCAAAATTTCTGCTACCGGTTCGCCAGAACCTGTCAGAACCTGCTGAATTTCACCCGTTTTATTCTATTCTAGAGAAGTCTAAAAATAGAATTCTATTCTAAACTAGAGAAGTCTAATTTAGAGCCGTCTAGCATCTTTTTTTTTTTTCTTTTCTTTTTCAGATCTGGGAAAGTCTCTGTTCAGATCCTTGGCAAAGTCAGCTTAAAGGGAAAACATCTTTGAAACTCTCTTGGAGCCGGGAGGGCTGTTGCTACCGGTAGCTACGATCAATCCCTCTGGTTCAAACAGAAGAATGGGTTGGCTGGTTGCTTCAACGGGAATCCCTCTGCAAATGAACAGACTGATGACTGGCAGGCTTTTCTGATTGGGAGATTATTCGGAATAAATGCTTACAGACGTCAACGGATAATTAGAACTGCAGAAAAAAACAATTGCTACCAACCTGCCTCCCACTGAGGACCTGTCTACTGCACGAGTCAAAAAGAGGGCTGGGAAAATATCTACAGACTCCTCGCATCCTGGACATAAACTGTTTCAACTCCTACCCTCAAAACGACACTATAGAGCACTGCACACGAGAACAACTAGACACAAGGACAGTTTTTTCCCGAACGCCATCACTCTGCTAAACGAATAATTCCCTCAACACTGTCAAACTATTCACTAAGTCTGCATTATTATCATTATTAATCTTCTCATCGTTCCTATTATCCATCTCCTTTTCTAATTACGACTATAACTTTGTTGCTAGTATCCTTACGTTTTATATTGTTTTATTTAGCTTGCTAGTACGATATGATTTTTGTGGATTGCTTATTTAGGATCCTATGACTATCGCTACGTGTTGTATCTTATGATTTGTGACGAATGTATTTTTATGATGTCGTTAGAAGAGCATGTGACGGCCGTGTCCGGGAGGATTTTTCATCAGGTTCGCCTGATCCGCCAGTTGCGTCCCTATCTAGATCGGGACTCCCTACACACAGTCACTCATGCCCTCGTTACTTCTCGTCTGGATTACTGCAACGCTCTCTACATGGGGCTCCCCTTGAGGTGCACTCGGAGGCTCCAACTGGCGCAGAGTGCGGCCGCGCGGGTGGTGATGGGAGCGACATGGAGTTCCCATGTGACACCTCTCCTGCGCGAGCTGCACTGGCTCCCGGTGGTCTTCCGAGTGCGCTTCAAGGTTCTGGTTATCACCTTCAAAGCGCTCCATGGCTTAGGACCTGGTTATTTACGGGACCGCCTGCTACCACCAATAGCCTCCCACCGGCCAGTACGCTCCCATAGAGAGGGGCTCCTCCGGGTGCCGTCGGCCAAACAATGTCGGCTGTCGGCCCCTAGGGGGAGAGCCTTCTCTGTGGGGGCACCTACGATTTGGAACGAGCTCCCCCCGGAGATACGTAGGATCCCGGATCTGCGCACCTTCCGCCGTGCGCTTAAGACCTTTCTATTTTATCAAGCTGGCCTGGCCTAAATCTTCCCCCTTTTTAAATGTGGAAATTTTAAATTTTTAAATTTTAAATTCGTCTTTTTATAGGGGTATGGGTAAGGCATTTTAAATTGGGGAGCCATTTTAGATTTAATTCTGTTTTAAACGTATTTTAATTGTTTATATTGTATGTTTTTAACTTTGGCTGTTCACCGCCCCGAGTCCTTCGGGAGAGGGGGCGGTATAAAAATCTAATAAATAAATAAAAATAAATAATAAATAAATATGATGACTATGATCACGATTGATCACTTACAGCTTTTGTGGACAGTGAGAGCTTATGCACCGGAGACAAATTCCTTGTGTGTCCAATCACACTTGGCCAATAAAGAATTCTATTCGTTTCTAAAATGTTCCACCAGCAGGCCCTGTGGAAAGAGGTGGAAATTGTTGTTGGCTTTTTCAGCACCTGGAGCTGTTCACCAAAGGAGATCTTAAAGCAGTGAGGTTCCCAATAGAAAATTATGACAACGTGTGTTATACTTAACTCTTCAAGTGAGAAGGTTGATCTATGGAGGCTCACTGGCTTTCAGGTGAATGCAGAAGTTGGAAGTGGCTGACCAACCCAAGCCATTTTAACCTTCCTTTCTTTTTTGTGATCCTTCTTGGATTTTCTTTTTTAAAAACTTTTACGATCCCAAAACGGTCACTAAATGAACTGTCATAAATCAAGGATTACCTGCACCGAATTCTGGGAGTTGAAGTGGGAAGAAAAAAAAGTGGGAAAGATAGCATCACTACCAGATGGATTCGTAACTGGCTGACAAACCGTACTCAACGAGTAGTCCTTAATGGGCCTACGTCTACATGGAGGGAAGCAAGCAGTGGGGTACCACAAGGTTTCCTCTTAGGCCCAGTACTCAATATCTTCCTAAACAATTTAGATGAGGGAATAGAAGGGGAATTTACCAAATTTGCAGATGATATTAAACTGGCAGGAATAGCCAACACCCCTAGATGATAGGCTCAAGATCCAGATGGATCTTGACAAGACTTTTGTTTTATTTATTTATTTGATTTATATGCCGCCCTTCTCCGGAGACTCAGGGCAGCTTACAATGTGTTAAGCAATAACCTTCATACTTTTGTATATTTTTACAAAGTCAGCTTATTGCCCCCACAAACTGGGTCCTCAATTTACCTACCTTAGAAAGGATGGAAGGCTGAGTCGACCTTGAGCCTGGGGAGATTCGAACTAGCAGTAATTGCAGGCAGCTGGATGATAATAACAGGCTATTAGTCTGCTGCGCCACCAGGCTCTTGAACACTGCGCCCTATCTAACAAAATGAAATTCAACGTAGAGAAAAGGAAAATCTTACATTTAGGCAAGAAAACCCAAAAGGAGACATACAGACTGGGTGAAACCAGACTTAATAGTAACTGTGAGAGAGATCTTGGAGTCTTAGTGGACAACCAGCTAAATAGGAGGCAGCAGTGTGCCTAAAAAAGCCAATGCAATCCTAAATTGCATTAACAGAGAGATACAATCAAGATCAAGGGAAGTACTAATACCACTCTATAAAGCCTTAGTAAGACCACACCTAGAATCCTGCATCCAGTTTTGGTCACCACACTATAAAAAAGATGTTGAGACTCTAGAAAAAAGTGCAGAGAAGAGCAACCAGGATGATGAGGGGACTAGAGACCAAAACACACATGATGTCCAGACATATTAAAGTGACCCAAGGCTGAGAAACACTGAATTAATTCGACGATTTACGTCTGACCAAGAGCTCACTTACATCTTTAAACCAAAGCTGTCCTTAAATCAAAACCCAACATTTGGTTCTTGCCCCAAGAACCAAATGGCTCTTCAAGGAAACAAGGGGGGGGACCCCAAGACACATTGCCCCCACCGCCTCTTTCCTGAGGCATCTCCTCAAGCTTTGAAACAATTTTTGCAAGGCAAAAATTCAACAGGATGTCGTTTCGTCCTCTCTTCCCAGGAAAACCGGGCCCTCCCTGCTAGGCAATCATTAGCCGCAAAGCAAATACCGCTACACTTCTCTTCTCTCGTTGTGTTGTGTAATTCCCGTCTCCCCTGACAGACTAAACAGAGAGGTAACAATCAGAGATATATTAAAACTGGGGGGATCTCCCTAAAGAGGAAAAAAAAAAAAATCTGCAGTGTCATCCCTCATGCCTTACGTTCACCCGTAAATATGTTGGATCCACACAATATACGCCGTTAGTTTGATGTGGAGAGTCAAAACTGGAGGAAGGCATGGGAAGAGGCCTTGTTTTTTAAGGTAGCCATGTCCCTTTCTCCTGATCTGGCTACCCCATTCCTAGTTCCAATATTTTTTAGTCTACAAGTGTAGTTTTTAATACGTTTAAATTTACTTGAAAGACCCTTCCTTCTCTCCCTCCCTTTTCCTTCCTTCCCTTTTTTTCCTTCCTTCCCTCCCTCTTCCTTTTTTTCTTCCTTCTTTCCTTCCCTGCCTTGCGATGACTCCATGCCCCTTGGAGTCGTTTCTTGATGGTTTCTTCACATCTTAATATTTTTATTCTTTGCTCTATGAGGGTACATTTTAATACATTTAAATTTACTTGAAAGACCCTTCCTTCCCTCCCTTTTCTTTTCTTCCCTCCTTCCCTACCTTTTCCTTCTTTTCTTCCTTCCTTCCCTGCCTCCAGCCCAATCTTGTGATGACTCCATGCCCCTTGGAGTTGTTCCTTGATAGTTTCTTCACACTCCAATATTTTTATTCTTTGGTCTATGTGTACATTTTAATACATTTATATTTACTTGGAAGGTCCTTCCTTCCTTCCCTCCCTCTTCCTTCCTTTCTTCTTTCCATCTCTTCCTTCCTTCCCTCTTTTTCTTCTTTCTTTCCTTCCTTCCTTCCCTGCCTCCTCCCCAATCTTGTGATGACTCCATGCCCCTTGGAGTTGTTCCTTGATAGTTTCTTCACACTCCAATATTTTTATTCTTTGGTCTATGTGTACATTTTAATACATTTATATTTACTTGGAAGGTCCTTCCTTCCTTCCCTCCCTCTTCCTTCCTTTCTTCTTTCCATCTCTTCCTTCCTTCCCTCTTTTTCTTCTTTCTTTCCTTCCTTCCTTCCCTGCCTCCTCCCCAATCTTGTGATGACTCCATGCCCCTTGGAGTTGTTCCTTGATAGTTTCTTCACACTCCAATATTTTTATTCTTTGGTCTATGTGTACATTTTAATACATTTATATTTACTTGGAAGACCCTTTCTTCTCTCCCTCCCTCCCTCTCTTTTCCTTCCTTTCTTCTTTCCATCTCTTCTTTCCTTCCCTCTTTTTCTTCTTTCTTTCCTTCCTTCCTTCCCAATCTTTTGATGACTCCATGTCCCTTGGAGTTGTTCCTTGATAGTTTCTTCACACTCCGATATTTTTATTCTTTGTTCTAATGAGTGTACATTTTAATAATTTAAATTTACTTGGAAGGACCTTCCTTCCTTCCCTCCCTCTTCCTTCCTTCTTTTCCTCCCTTTTCCTTCTTTCCTTCCTGCTGCACTGGTACTTCATGTGATCTTGATTTAATCCCTCTGTTGATGCAGCATAGGATTGCACTGGCTTTTTTGGCAACTGCTGCACACGGCTGGCTCAGATTCAAGCGATCATCCACTAAGACTCCAAGGTCCCTCTCTCAGTTACTGGTTTTTGAGCCAGGTCTCGCCTAAGCTGTACTTATACCTTTGATATATATATATTTTTTCCCTGCCTAAATGTAAAACTTTGCTTTTCTCCACATTGAAATTCATTTGGTTGGATAGGGCCCATTGAAAAAGTTTGTCAAGATCTTAAGTCAAGATTTAAGCAGGAAAAAAAAAAATCAGGATTGCAACAGTGTCTCCCCTTGAAGTCAAATCTAATTCCCGTCCAGTTTCTGGGACCAAAAGAAAATCCACTCCCAAAAAAATGATCCGTTCAAGAGCTCAGCTCAGAGATCTGTTTTTATTGGGAAGGGATGCTTTTAAAGTTTAGTCCAGTTACTCCGCATCTCCGCCGACCTCAGAGGGTTCTGCGAAGAGAAAGATTGTGAATGTCACGTTAAGCCCTTCGGATCATGCAAATACATTCAAGGCGGAAATATTCCGAATCTTTATTTAGAAGTAATCTCCCCTGAATTCAGCAAGACTTGACTATCAAGGCCACATGCCCCGGAGATCAAACAGAAGCTTATTGCGCCTTGCTTGGTAGGTCAAGAAATATCACAATTGGGATTTATTAAAGCTGCCAAGGTTGGACACCCTTGCCTTAGGAAGACCTTCATTTATCTGTTTAAATTCGTGTTTCTCTACTTTTGGCAACTTTAAGAGGTGCGGACTTCCTCTCCCCGAATTTCCCAGCCAGCAGGAACTCTGGGAGTTGAAGTCCATGCCTTATTCACGTCCCTGCGGTTGAGAGACCCTGGTTTAAAAGATGCTGTTGTTAAAAAAAACTCTTTCGGGGTGACTCACCCCCAAACAGTCCCAGCAGACTCAGCCTTTGAATCGGAGGGAATCCTGACTAACCCTAAAGGGTATTCGCTCCCTAAATCATCGACGTTCCATATCCAGGTTCAGATTCGGAGTCTCGGCAGCCACGAGAAAAGCCAAGGCAGAGGCTGCAGCATCTTCGGCTCTCTCAGGTGTTGGAGGAAAAGGAATTCTCCTTGTCTTTTTTGCAGTTTCCCCCCCAAACCTCCTTTCCCCCCTCCCCTTTTATTTTTGCCCCATTTCTCCCCAAAGTCCCCCTCCCTTCTCCTCCTCCTCTCTCTCTTTCCCTCTCACCTTTCCTCTGTCTTTCTCTTCCCTGCACTCTCTTGCTTTCTTCCTCCATCTCTTCTCCTCCATCTCCCCCCTTTCTCTCGCCATCCCCCACTTTCCATCTCCCTCCCTCTCTGTCTCTCCTTCTCTCTCCCCCTCTCCTCTTTTCTCTCAGCTTGTCTCTCTTCCCCTCTCACTTTCTCTCTCTCTCCCTCTCCTCTCCCTCTCTCTTAGCTTTTCTCCCTCCCTCCTTCTCTCTTCCTCCCCCCTCCCTCCCCCTCCCTTTCTCTCTCTTCCTCTCCCCTCCTTCTTCTCTCCCACTTTCTCCCTCCCTCTCCCCCTCTCCCTTTCTCCCTCCCTCCTACTTTCTCCCTCCTCCCTCTCACTTTCTCTCCCTCCCTTCATCTCCCTCTCTCACTTTCTCTCATTCTTTCTCTCCCCCTCCCTCTCTCTTTCTCTCTCACTTTCTCTTTCTCTCCCTCCTTCTCTCCCCCTCCCTCTTTCTCTCTCACTCTCTCTCCTTTCTCTCATTCTTTCTCTCTCCCTTCCTCCCCCCTCCCTTTCTCTTTCTCTCTCTCCCTCTCCTTTCTCTAGTCCTTCTCTCTCCCTCTCTCTTTCTCTCTCCCTCTCTCTCACTTTCTCACCCTCCCTTCCTCCCCCCTCCCTTTCTCTTTCTCTCTCTCTCTCTCTCCTTTCTCTCCTCCTTCTCTCTCCCTCTCTCTTTCTCTCTCCCTCTCTCTCACTTTCTCACCCTCCCTTCCTCCCCCTCCCTTTCTCTTTCTCTCTCTCTCTCTCCTTTCTCTCCTCCTTCTCTCTCCCTCTCTCTTTCTCTCTCCCTCTCTCTCCTTTCTCTCCCTCCCTCTCACTTTCTCACCCTCCCTTCCTCTCCCTCTCTCCCTTTCTCTCATTCTCCCCCTCCCTTACCTCTCCCTCTCTCCCTTTCTCTCCCCTCCCTGCCCCTTTCCACCCACCCCTCCCCGGTGTCTGTGTGCTACCTGGGGGGAAGGGGGGGAAGCCAAGCGAGGGTGGGTGTTTTGTTGTTTTTCTTTTTCCTTCCTTTCCTTTCCTTTTCCCTTTTTTCCTCTTTCCCCACTCCCTCCCCCTCTCCCTCCCTCTCTCTCTTATTCTCTTTCTCCCTCCCTCTCTCACTTTCATTCCCTCTCTTTCTCTCCCCCTCCCCGGTGTCTGTGTGCTACCTGGGGGGAAGGGGGGGAGCCAAGCGGGGGTGGGTGTTTAGTTTTTCTTTTCCTTTTTTCCTTTTTCCTTTTTCCTCTTTCCCCACTCCCTCCCCCTCTCCCTCCCTCTCTCTCTTATTCTCTTTCTCCCTCCCTCTCTCACTTTCATTCCCTCTCTTTCTCTCCCCCTCCCCGGTGTCTGTGTGCTACCTGGGGGGAAGGGGGGGGGAAGCCAAGCGAGGGTGGGTGTTTTGTTGTTTTCCTTTTCCTTTTTTTTTCCCTTCCTTTTTTCCTCTTTCCCCTTTTTTGAATGAACGACCTGGCCTCGGCCAGCCAATGGGCGCGCGGGCGCCTGCTTCATATTCATGAGGCCGGGGGCCAATGGCGAGGCGAGGAGGTTGTTTTAAACGGCAGAGCCCCGCAGCCAATCAGGCCGCTCTCGTAGGCAGCCAACGCGAGGCTGACCAGCCGCCGCCAGCAGCGCTGAGCCTTTAGCGCGTCGTGCGAGCGCCTCGCTTTCTTCCTCCCTTCCTTCCCTTATTGCTTAGGTTCACGCGAACAATACAGGTAGGTGCCCGGAGCCCTGCGCGGCAACTTTTTCCGGGGGGGGGGGGCCGGCAGCTCCCCTCCTCTTTTTTTTTTTTCCTCCCCTCTTTTTTTTTTTCATTTTTTTTCCCACCCTTCTTTTTTTTTGTTGTTTGTTTTTTTTTTCCCCCTTCCAAAAAAAAAAAAAATACATATATATAGAAATACAGACACGCATTTAAATACAGTGTATCTATTTCCAACCCCGTCGATACAGTATCGATTTTTTTTTTCTCCCCTTCCTTCCTTTCTTTCCTTTTTTTTTTTTTTTTATTTTTTTTTGCAATTCCGGCTTTTTTTGAATGCCTTCCTCCTCTTCTTTTTTTTCTTCCCCACCAACTTTCTAACTCTTTTTTTTTCTTCTTCTTCTTTTCCTCCCCTTCTCTTTCTCTTCCTCTCTTTTCCCTAGTTTTTTTCTTTCTAATAAGGAGAGGGGGGGGGGGAGAAAAAAAAATCCGATTGGTCCCAGATTGGGCTGGTTGGTGGAAAGGGAGTTTTCCCCTTCTCTGCCTCGTGGGTGGATAGGTGGGTGGGGGGCTTCTCCACGCGTGTGCGGGTTTTTTTTTTTTTTTTTTTTTTGCAGGGGGCGAAAAGGGGATTCTTCCGGAGCGGGGGTGCCTAATCTGCAGTGTGTGTGTGTGTGTGTGAAAACGTGCCTGGGTGCCTTGAGATATCTCTTATCTCCCACCCTGCACGCACCCACGCCCCCCCACCCCACCCCGAGCCGCGGAGCATGGGTTTTCCGCGGCTCCGGGAGTGGAGCATGGGTTTTGGTGCAGCAGCGGTTGCTAAAAAGCCCGCATGGGGAGGGATTGGGGGGGGTGGTGGAGGAAAGGGAATGGGACTCCGGCTTTGCGCTGATCCTTGCGCTTGGGGGGTGGGAGGGGGGGGTCTTTGGGCAGGATCGGGGCCGGTCCAAGTTGCCCGGCCGTGCGCAGTGCCTTGCCGTTTTATTCTGCATTCATAATGGCTGTCCGTCCTTTTTTTAAAAGCATCTGACAGAAACGTGGGAAGGGGTGGTTGGGGGGGGAGATATATCAAGTCCTGCGAGTCCCGGGCAGAGCGAAATAATTTCAAACCCCCCCCTCCCTTCTCGTTTCCCTTGGTCGGGGTGTTTTTTTTTTTTTTTTTGGTGGGGTTTATTTTTTTTCCCCTCCGTCGGATCGCCCCCAAACCTTTCGTTTCCGCTCGCTTTCTTTCTCCCCTCTCCGAAAAGGCCCCTCTCGTCCTCCTCCGTCCTCCGCGAGACCCCGAGCCGACCCTTCCTCGCGCGGTCGTGGGCTGTTGGCTTTTTTTTTTTTGCTTGTGTGTGTTTTGCCTTAATATGGCTGGCGTTACAGTAGCAGACCTAAAGGAAGAAAGACGGGAGGGAGAGCGACGCGGGGGCAAAATCCGCCCGGGGGCCCCCCCGAGCCCCCCAACCTTTCTCAAACGCCCCCTTTTCTTTATCTCTCTCCTCTCGTGCCCTTAGCGGGGCGTTGAAGCCCCGAACCGGGCTGTTTTGGGCGTCCTTTCCTCCTCTCCTTGGGCGACCAGGCTTGTAATGGCTGCGCGCAGCCTTTGTTAAGACTGGCGATTGCGCTAAGCAGGGGGAACGGCGGGGAGAGGAGGGAGGGGGGGAGGCCTCTTTCCGAGCGGTTTCTCGGCCCTTTCCCGTCATTTCTCCGCTTCGAGACCGGGCTGGTTAGAAAGAGCATCGCTTTTTCTACAAAAAGAGCCCGGTCCCGTTTTTTTCCTCCGGATGGCCGTCCGACAAAAGGCTTGGAACGGAAAAGGCGAGCGCCGGTGGCTTTGTTAAAGCGGCTCGCATTGCCTTTAGAGAAGCCATTTTAGCGAATGGGGATCTGACGAGGCGAAAGGGAAGCGCTCCGCTCTCGCTCTCTCCCAGCCTTAGCAAAGCCGGATTGCCTGCGCAGGGGCCAAGGAGCCCAGACGAGGGTCTCCGCTCGGGACCCCCAGGACTCCCCGAACCCCGCTGGACCCCCAGGACTCCCCAAAGGTGGATTTGAGAGGCAGTTTCTTTCATCAAGAAACGTTTCACAAAATGGAAGGTGAATTATTGGGACCGGGAAACGGGCGCTGGTTTTTGGTGGGGGGGCTTTTTCGCCCCCTTTTCCCACCCCAAGACAAGGGCAGGTTTCCCCCCCCTCCAAATACGGGGTGGGGAGAGGGGGGTCTCTCTCTCTCTCTCTCTCTCTCTTTTGGGGGGGCACCTGCCCTTGTAGCCCCCCCCCTCTCCTTGCCTGCTTTTTCCCTTTCCCCCCCCCCCACCGAAGGGGGGAAAAAAATATTTATTTTTCCCAATGACCTTGGGGTGGAGAGACGAGGAGGGGGGCGGACCGCAATAATTTTTTTCCCCCATTTCTTCTGCTTTTTGAAACTTTCTTCTTTTTTCTTTCTTTTCTCTCTCTCTCTCTCTCTCTTTTTTTTTTTTTTGCAGATGGTGCAACAAACAAGATGTATTTATAGAAAGGGGGGGGTAAGGGTGGCGTGTGTGTGTTTTTTTAATGCAACTTTTGCAAAAGGAACGGGGAAGGGTTTTTTTGTTGTTGTTGTTGTTTAAAAACGCAACTTTTACAAAAGGACAGAAGGAGGAATGGTTTTTTTTTTTTTTCCCCTGGGGAGGCGTGCCAGCCACCGAGATAGTATTTTTTTTCCTAATAATAATAATGCAAAGGATTTTCAACTTTTTTTTTTTTTGCTAAGGAGGGATTGCAAAGCTTTTATTTTTCCCTAGCTGTGCCGGCAGAGGGAAGAGGGTTGATCGCCTCCCCAGCGAAAGGAAAGCTGCCCCCCCCTTTTTTTTTTCAGGAAAAATAAATAGCTTTTTTTTTTTTTTTTTTTTTTTTTTGCAAATGCAAATCCTTCCCTTCTCACAGGAAACTTGTAAATGAGATAACAACTGTCCTTTTCCCACAAACTTAGCCACGGATTGACCAACCTTCTTAATATCCACAATCTCTTTGGATAAAAAAAGGCACTGCAGTCTTGTGATGTGTACAATAATTAAGTAAAAAAAAAAAAATCTTTAAATGGAATTGAACTGTCTTCAGAGGAACTGTTTTGTTTTTCCCCCCCCCGGGATCAGAGAGAGGGTTGCCTGCAGCTATCTTG